CAAAATCATTTTAAGTAAGAATGGCAAGAAGACGGATATCAGAGGCGCAGAGATGGCAAATTATTGGCATGAATTCCGCTGGTATGTCCTACAAGGCGATAGGTAGACAGCTTGGCTATCATTACACAGTGATCAGCCGTTTGGTCAGAAAACATGTTGCCACCCAGAATGTTAAGGACCGTCCTCGATCTGGTCGACCATCTGTAACAACCCAACGTGAAGATAGGAGCCTTGGTAGATTGGTCAGACGAAGAAGACGGATATCAGAGTCGCAGAGATGGCAAATTATTGGCATGAATTTCGCTGGTATGTCCTACAAGGCGATAGGTAGACAGCTTGGCTATCATTACACAGTGATCAGCCGTTTGGTCAGAAAACATGTTGCCACCCAGAATGTTAAGGACCGTCCTCGATCTGGTCGACCATCTGTAACAACCCAACGTGAAGATAGGAGCCTTGGTAGATTGGTCAGATTGTCAAAATGAGGCACAACTACAGGTGTAAGCACGTCCCTGGTGTACTTTTCGCCAGTAAGGTTGCCATTGATTGTTACCAAATCCAGCCCCATACCATAACTGAGCCCCCACCAAAAAGCACTGTTGGAACAATGTTTCTTGGAGTGTAAGCTGCGTTACGATGCCTCCAAACACGGGTTCGACCATCAGTTACGTGGAGTAAAAATCTACTCTCGTCTGACCAGTGTCTTCGTCGCCAGGTTTGAATGTTCCAGTACTGCCTTGCTCTGCACCAGGCCAACCTCTCCCTGCGATGGCGATCGTCAAGTGTCAGGCGTTTTATGACTCTCCTTGACTTCAGTCCCGCAGATTTTAAACGATTTCTTACTGTTCTGGTTGACAGATAACGACCAGGTAACCACTGCCTTTTTAGACGGGTGCTTGTTGCAAACGGATTTCGTCTGACCAATCTATCAAGGCTCCTATCTTCACGTTGGGTTGTTACAGATGGTCGACCAGATCGAGGACGGTCCTTAACATTCTGGGTGGCAACATGTTTTCTGACCAAACGGCTGATCACTGTGTAATGATAGCCAAGCTGTCTACCTATCGCCTTGTAGGACATACCAGTGGAATTCATGCCAATAATTTGCCATCTCTGCGCCTCTGATATCAGTCTTCTTGCCATTCTTAAAATGCAAAATCATTTTAAGCAGAAATTCGGGACTTAAATACGGATTTGATGCACGAGAAAATAGTGCATATTGGACGTGAAGAAGGGAGCAAGTTGCACGTAGGGAAAAAAATGCGCCTGATTTAAATGTCACACCTGAACGCTCACATCCTTTTAATTATGTTTGAAATTATGAACATTGCTCAACATTATGAAAATTAAACCTTATTTTCAATAAGCAATCCTGAAAAATATTTGGGGGTGCTTAACTTTTTTCCATGTGTATAGTTCATATAAGTAATTTATTTTTCTTTAGGCGAACCTTATATACAAGATTAAACACTTTGTGGTACATTATCCTACCTGCTTTTCTTTAAAAAAAAAACTTCCTATCTTTAGGATCAGCTGTAAATGATTGTTATCAGTTTTGTTTTCTTTGGGCATTTTATATCCCTAAGTTAAAATTTTTTATCTCTTAGTATTTGGAATGATAGAGAAACAATTCTGATATGATGAGAAATAATATAAAAATTAGAATAAAAAAATTCAAATTATTGTAATTACTAGTGCATATTTATAATAAGATATGATTTGTGTTGTTTTAGAATGTTGAGTATTATTACAAGTAGTTGATGTTGAAAATAAAGTGTGTATTATACCACATTAGCAAAAGCAGTATTGTGTTTCTGTATATGAAGTACAGTTTGCATGAGTCAGAAATTGTTTTTATGATTTTAATACTTTCAGAAATGTGATTTTTGATATACTATAGGTGAAGAAACTTCTCTTATTGTACAGTGGTGTAAAGAAACTATGTTTCATTTAGTCAGATTAATCTACTTAGGATTGAAGACTTAATATATAAAGCAGATGTTGTAAACATGCATAATATATCTGTTATGTGGCAGTGGAGAGTCTATAATTAAAAGATGTAACCCATATTAAGAACAAACCAATGGGTTTTATAAATCAAATTACAATGCAGAAATACAGTATTAGAAAATGTAATATTCAACCCTCACATTAATACCAACAGTCATGGATGATTGATTGGTAACCTTGTTTAAAAATTTACATGTATTTAATTTCATTATACACTGGAATATATACAAAGTATTTTTCAAATCTTTAATATTGTATCTTTTCACATATTTACCATTTCTCTTTCCCTTAGTGGCTTAGCAATAATTTTATAGACTTATAATGGCAAATTCCAGGGTCCAATTTCCTGCTAAAAAAAATCTGAACACACAATTGTGCCCAAATTGGAGCTCCAACTGATTATCCAGTCTGAAGCCTATTTTGTCACAAGGCTTCCAATTCTGTCACTAGTCATCCCAAGTTAACTACTTGAATGTTATTATTTTATACAATTGCTTGGTTATTAAATCCAGGAAATCAAAATCACTTTCCTGGGGCTAATTTTGTAATAATTCTTCATTAAAGTGGGTATCATACTTTCCAGCAAAGTATTATTTGCAAATTTGTTTTGTAATAAGCGCACTCACAATATTAATGTTTATTTTTCTCTTTTTTATTATATCATTTATACATGTGATTGATATAAGTTATAAATATTTCATCCTGTTAAAGTAATGAAATATATGTATAACCATTGAAAGATTTATATACAAGTTAAAGTTTGGTAACGAAATGAAAAGACTGACACATTGGTATGATTAAAGCAAACATTTTAAGCTCTTATGGTTTATGAGTTTGAATTTATGCAGTTGTTTTGGAACCATATAACGGTCATAAACTCAGAAGTATTTAACTCTTTCGTGGTGGGCTCATGCAATTTGCGGAAATTGAGTTGTGGTAACTCTGAGATTACTTAATGTATTCTCTTAGAAACTGGTAAGATTTTGTTAAAGATATTGTACTAAAAATGTTATTTTTTTATTGTAGTTACTTGCATTCAAACTATTAACAAATCGAGTGCAAGGTGACTTTCATTTTAAGTATAAAAATACTTTTCTTCGTCTTATAGTTTTCATATTTACATAATCTCTAGAATCTCCTAAAAAGATATCAAAAGTTTTATAAGGTAAATGTTTATATTTCATTTTCTCTACCATATTAGTATCTCTAGTTATTAACATCAAAGTACAATACAATGAAATTATTAAAATTAGGAAATAGAAAAAATACATACCTTTTAATTTTTTGTAGAATATTAAAGATTTTCCTTTTGTTAAATATCTAATTTCATCTCTTTCCTTTTCACATATAGTTAATTTTTAATGTTTTCTTGTCCTTCACCACTTATTCATCTTGACACAAGTCAACGGTGTCCTCGAGGCATATTACAGTTTCTTTGAGAGACATGCACAACCCCTCGGCAGAATTTATGTTCAGCTTGTAATACCGTAAGCCTTGAGAGTGGAAGCAAATTATGGTGTATATTTAAACAATTTTTAAACCTTCTAATTATGAATTTTAAAACATAACTAATTTATAATTAACTAAAATATAATAGTAAGACCTACGTGCAGTTTATAGTGTCTCTCTGACTATAACATATTTAGGTAAGAAACAACCTTAAGTACTATACTCGATCAAGCAGCCAACAGTACTACAGTCAATTTTATGTAATCTGTGACGACAGCTGTGCACCAATTTCAAAATAACTGTTGTTTGATTATAGTGTAAAATGATCTATTTCTAATGACTATACACATGTTATGTACACATCTACATGTAGGCTATAAAACTCAAACTTGTTAAAGGTGCGCATGGCAGCTGGCAGAGGTTGAAAAATGTATTATTTGTTTTAACTGTATTCATTCAGAGCACTTTGAAAGGAACAAATCAAAAGGTTATGTAAGCATCTTAGTGGATAGATATAACTATTACCATTGTATCACTGAAGATACAGAGAGCCAAAGTACAGATTTTTTATAGCTTGTTGGTCACTTAACAACACATCTGAAGTTTTAAGGTATATTGTTATGTGACCAATGAGCTGTGAAAGCTTTAAAGTTTTATTTTGTAATAAAGGACTTAACACTTGGATAAAATAACTTTGAATCATAACACACATTATAATATTAATTTCATTCAATACCTTGATAGCAAAGGTGTTTAAATTTTGAATGCAACACAGTGACTTGGGCTGAAACGTGTTTAAAGAGGCTCCCATTGCAAAATGGTTAAACTGTTACATTAATATTGTATTATATAAGTTGAATCTGAATGGTCAAGAATATTTCATGTAATATGTTTTCTGTATTATTACATCCTAATATTGTTATCAAATATAATAGTACTTACTTATGGCAGCATACCCTAACAGCACCTCTTTCTTCTGCACTGGTTCATAAAATGTCATGCTTCAGAAGTTATAGGATATGACCAACTGAAAAGTTTATTATTACCTTTAATGTATTCGACTGCAAGATTTTATTTAATTGATATTTTTAATTAGAATGATCTTTGTTGTTTCTAAACTGAATGTTACCATCAACATCTGTTTTTTGTTATGTAAAGATTTAAATTAATGTAAGCTTTATTTCTTTATATAAGCTTGAAACATTATCTAACATTTGGTGGTAGCTTATCTATTTTCTTTGCTTGCTCAAGATTGGCATGGTTACAATATTTGTGTTTTAGACCATTCTATACTTATTTAATTTATAGTAGTTTTAGTTAATTGTGAAAAGGTTCAGGCAGAAAAACTGTCAAAACATGGTAAGTTTTAAAAAAAAAATTCTGTTTTAAAAGAATTATTGCAAAACATTTGTAACCTGTTGCCTGGGTCCTTAGGTTTTTCTTTTTGTTTATTTCAAGCCTTTTATCTCTTGCTAGTTGTGGTTTTTGTTCAAGAGCAAGTTTGTACTTGTGACCTTTAACTTATCATTAGTCTCACACTGATCGTTTATCTTGTATGATTTTTCTCTCCCTACTTGGCCCGCTGATGTCTTCCTGTGTGGACTTCTTTATTCATTCGCTCGGAACATTGATTCCTTCCACTCTGCTGCTCTGCTCCACACCTGTTGCTCTGACCTTTAGATGGTCACGCCCGATGCTCTCTTTACCCTTTTTGGTATGTTTTTTGATCCAGCACACTTTTTTTTTTGTTTGATCTTTCAAAATTCTAGTTCTAGGTCTCTTCTCAGTAATCACACACTTACTTCCCTAGTTTGTTTTACCTGTGAGTTTTACAGTTTTCATTTGTTTATACTACAGTCTTTGTTCAAGCAGCTTGCAAAGATTGTACTTAACTGGAGTTTCAGACATTTTTTAAAAGATTTATTTTTGTACAGAGCATCACAATTATATGTACACCTATTTCAACACCATAAAGTATTGACTGTCAATCCCAAGAGAAAGTATTATCACAGACCAAAAGTATTGATAAACTAAGAAACCAAATACTTAAATGAAAAAAATACTATTGAAACATTAATGCTATAGGACTCTTTTTTTTTTTTTCATTAGGCAAGTATTTTAATTCCTTTTCAACCTTAATACTGCAGATATCAACATAATATTGTTTCATTTTAATATTTAAAAATTTTGTCTACAAAATTTTATCCCTAGCTTCATAATTGTGAATGCTTATATTAAACTGGCACACGTTGAAAGCCTTGCTTATATTCTTCAAATTAGTTGTCATTCGGTATTTAAGTATGTACTAACTCAATCAGATCACCCAAATAATGTGTTTGAAACATTAACCTGAAATTTTAGAAACATTGAACCTATAGTTTGTCACTTCTTTTATTTTGTGCATGTGTTTCTTAGAGTAGTAAAGAAACAACATGTTACGATGTTTGCTAGCATGTACTTTTCAAACTGTATGTAACTTTTGTTTTTACTATAAATATTTTCACTCCCTTTCTGTCTGATCTTGTTTTAATATATAACAAGTAGGCTGTGTGGGGAACTCTCACATTGTTAATACCCGTGTTGTTGTTTAAATTGCATTACAAAAATGTTAATAACATTTCTTTGTAAGCTCATCAATCTGTCTCCATCCTTTCTCTCTCTTGAATGTCTCTTCTATTCCACCAGGAGTGTACGGAGATGTTGTGCGTGTTAAAATATTGTTTAATAAAAAAGACAATGCCCTTGTCCAGATGTCTGAACCACATCAAGCGCAGTTAGGTAAGTTTTGAGTTTTCAAATGATTGCAGTTGTTTAATAAAGGGCAAGGTTTTATAATATGGGATTTTTGCCCAATCTTTAAGTTTCATTATTTTCACATATTGTGCTCACCTTCCTCCTGAAATGTTCAAAGCCATAAAAATTACCTGCAAATCAGTTTTAATCTTTTCCAGAACTTACACATAGAATTCCTTATTTCACTACCGTGTTCATCAGAAGTGTAATTGATGATTGCAACAGCATCCTGAGCACCTTCAGTTATGGAACTAGTCTTGTGAGCTTGTACCATTTGAGTCTCTTATTACTAACTTTTTTTTTAACAGCACCACTGTTTTTACAGTCAATACTAGACAAGTATGGTTCATCATTCTAACTGTCATGTGATATCTTGCTTCTAAGGTCATAGGATATAAAGTTGAGCAATTGAAAAGCTTATTATGATCTTTAATGTATTGGATTGGAAGACTGCTTACTGTCTAATGATTGTTACGGCACCAAGCTTCAGCAGGATGATAATACCATGCATGACAAGTTTTCTGTGTTTGTGCTTCAAGTGATGTAACAGTCTACTGAATTCTTTTGGACAGTTAACAAACATAACATGCTTGTTGCCCACTGATTTGATGTTTGGTCTGAAACACTGAGGGTTTGCTTGAGAATGTATCAGGAGCAGAATGTGAAGGAGGAACATAGCCTTGACCTCTTCAATTAATTTTACTTGCATCTGGAGAGGAATCATCAGGTGCACAATGTTTGGAATAATGGTACTTTTGATGACACTTGGTACAAACAGCATCACATTTGACTGGAGTTTTCTTCTTTCTCTTTGAAGATACCTTCTTAGTTCAGCATTATGTAGACCTGGTATGCTCCTTCTACCTTTAGATCCACACTTCAGGTGACATACATCTGTATCCCTTCAGAATGACTGAATGATATTTCTGACATTACTTAAGTATGAGTCTTTAAAACTACTCTTAGTAATATATTATTCGTTCCAGAATTGAAACTTTATTGGGCAAGTTGTGATTTCATTGGCTGATATGTTGGGTGTTCATAAGATTAATTGAGATTTATTCAGTGGTTATCTTTTGCACCTTATGCATTTCACTTACGAAATAAAAGGTTTAGATATCTAAAAATAAAATAGAGATGGATCTTGAGACAATTGTTAGATTAATTTTACCAGAATCACTTTAAAATATACTATTTCTCATAATTATAAACAACATACTGAAGACTAAAATTGTTGAGAAGTGGAACTCACATTTAAAAGTGTTGGAAAGTAGGAAAACTCACCTTAAACTGGGCCAAACTACACAACTTACATAGGCTTTGAAAACAACGATGTCACATTACATAAGTTAATTTCTACAAATTCACCTTATGATAGTTCCACTACAGATGGAACAACTTTCATAATTAATATATTTAGTTTTTTTTTGTCATAACCTATAGCAAAAATGTGTATATTATAGACTCTTGTCCTTTTAATATTTCAATCCAAATGTTTGGATAAATGAACTCATTTTCATGCATATTCCAGATATTTATCTGTTTCTCAGTAAGAAAAAACTTTTAATCTCATCTTCTATGATGAATTTAACATTTAAAATTGGAAGTTTTACATTGATTACAAGTCAGCTTCCACTTTTTATAACTCTATCTGTTGTTAAATTAAAACAAGGTATGGGAAGATATGATATGTTATTCTGTTTGTAGCACTTACCAATTTGGACAAGATTAAAGTGTATGGAAAAGAAATCAGGGTGAACCTATCCAAACACCAGGTTGTTCAGATGCCAAGGGAAGGTCAGCAAGTAAGTCACTGCTTTCATCATCAAACTACATATTAAGATATATTTGATATTATCAAGTTGGATTTACAACTGTCTACTGTACCAATTTTTTTCATCTTTATTTTTTACCAGTTTTTTCATCAGGAAAATTCTAAAGGGCATTCAGGAAATTTTTGTGATGTTTTACATATTTTTTCAAAATGTTGAGCTTTTAACATAATCTGATATACAAATGTTCCCGGGAAATAATTGATTTTGTATGGTTGAAATTAAGAATTTGTAAATAAACACACAAGTTGTGGCCATAGCTGAGTTGTGTACTTTTACCAGTATCAGGTTTTTATGAAAAATTAATTTTTCCTTTTACTGATATCAGGATGCTGGTTTGACCAAAGATTTCACCAATTCACAACTTCACCGTTTTAAAAAACCAGGCTCTAAGAACTACCAAAACATCTTTCCGCCATCAGCCACTCTTCATCTTTCAAACATTCCGTAAGTGTTCTTCAACTGTCTTTCTTAGTCTCTTAACCTTTTTATTCCCATTACATAGAATTGATACAGATTGTTACTTCTGTGCTTAAAAGCACAATAACTCTATAACAAAGAATGTAAATAGATAGATTAAATGGTTTATTTTAAAATTAACTTTTAAACTTTTTTGTAAAAAATAATTATGTATATAATTTTTTTCCTAGTCTTTTGTTTAGGAAAATATTTTTAATAGTATTCTTCCTTGACTTTAGCCTTTTTCTCATTAAGTAGGTCATTGTGCGCATGTCACAACCTTTCACAGAGCTACATTCCAAACTTAATTAAACTGCTTTATTATCAATATATGCAAATAAATTTGGCATCAAAACATAGTTAATAAATCAAATTTTATTATTATGTAAGTTTTAAGTACTTAAATTTATAAAGAAATATTTAAAAAAATACTCAATCTCCCCTAGTATGAGAACTGTGACATTTGTTATCTATGTCTTCCCCTTCTATAATTTATTTACCATGCAGAGAAGTACAGAATTCAAGGTATACTCATTATAATTTATTGCTCAGACAAAGCATAATTTTTTTATAGCCTTCAATTTTATTTGGTTTCAGAGCCATAAAGTAGACAATGAGACCCTCTTCCCACATCCTCTCTTTCACAAATTGTCAATAGTTCTCTCTGACTTTTATATTACTTATAACCAATAGAAAGCCAAAGTTTTAATCTATGACATATAATATTACATTGTTTTCTATACAGAGAATTGTTTAATTCCCTTCCAGTTCAAACTTCATTCCCACAGAAAACAAATTGACGAGCTTAGCTAAATTTTTAAATTATGATAGTTATAAAACATTCTATATTCTTAGGTGTATTATCTATTTAAAAAAAAATATTTATTGCAGTAGTACCATTAGTATAAAAAAAATAGGGTCAAGTTTCCTCGACAGTTGATAGCAAAAAAGAAAAAGACCCAGGTAAGTAGTATACTTATTATTTTTTATATGTATTCTGTCCATGTAACTACTTTGCAGGGTGTGGATGGATCTTTACCAAAATTTGTGTGGAGGTTCATTAGGTCCATGCAGAGGTACATAGAAATTTTCAGTTCTGCATTTTGTGATTTTTATGGACGTTTTTGCATTTTTTACCATTATCTCCCCTCCATGGGGAGATACATACAAATTTTTAGTTTTGTTGTTGTTATGGGTTTTTTTGCCTTTTTTACCACTATTTTGCCCCCTGTTGATGGATCTTCACCAAATTTGGTATGGAGATTCATTGGGTCCATGGGGAGATACATACAAATTTTCAGTTTTGTATTTGTAGTTTTTATGGGTGTTTTTTTACCACTACTTTATACCCTGTTGATGGATCTTCGTCAAATTTGCCATGAAGGTTTGTTGGGGCCATGTGGAGATACATGCAAATTTGTGGTTTCACATTTTGTGTTTTGCATTTTTTACAATTACATAAAAGGGAAGCAACTTTTCATGTTCTAAGATAACCTTTCATTAATCATGAATTTACATAACTTCTGTCTTGGGGACAGGGACTCCAGCTAGTAAGGCAATAAACTTAAGTATAAATAGATTTTGACCAATCACGTGACGTTTTTGTACTTGTATAAAGCCTTTACAAATTTGGTATTACTAACTTTTGATATAGTGTGTATATCATCACAAAATTTGGCAGTCTTTCAGTAAGCATTATAAGCCTTTCACATACAAAAAATCATATTTTTAGTGAAGTATTTTTAATAAATTTAAAAATATCTGTCCTTGAATACATCAAGTATTTCTTTTAAATAGTCCATATGCAAAGTGATTTTCAAATTAAGATTAAAAATACTTTTCTTCATCTCAAAAA